ATACCAATTGATTTGTCTCATTATTCTGTGCATAAAAGTATTAAGGTAACATTACCGAAAAATTAATGTTTTACAAGATATTTTGTATTTTATGTCAAAATACTAGAACTTTCAAGCCTCATAATTCCAAAAGTTCTTAACGAAAAAATACTTTATTATAATGTTTTGAACTCTTGAGATTAGCTACAAAAATATGCATTGAAAAATAGGGGTTTTCATTTAAGAAATTAAAGGTGTCGTTCACGTGAGCTTTAAACGATCATCCATGGTCAAACCAATGACACCATCTTATGTTCCCCTTTAAACCAAACAACTTTTGTCTGAAACAATTTTTCCAATCTTTTTTACTTCAAGAGATATTCAGCTAAATCACTTAAAATGATACACCCTGTATACAGGGTGTCCGAAAAATCGCCTACTCCACTTCGGGAGGTGATTCGGGACTTAAAAACAAGCAAAAAAGTTCATACAAACATAGGTCCGGAAATGAGCCGTTTCCGAGTTATAGCCACTTTTATGTTCAAAAATCGTAATTTAGAATCCGCTTGGCATCCCTCTTTCTTAATTATTTCTTAAATTAAAAATTTTTATTTTTAAATATCAGCTAATTCATTAAAACTTAAACGATCCATTGATGAATACGGGAAGATTAGATACAACCTAAAAGTAAGGTGTTGTTAAATAATAATTTGAAACTTATTGAAAAGCCGTGATTTACTTACTGATTTTGAATAGGCGTGAAAACAATTGATTTCAAGTAGCCGTGAAAACAACTGATTTTGAATAGCCGTGAAAACAACTGATTTCAAGTAGCTGTGAAAACAACTGATTTTTTTTAAAAATAATGTAATCGTATTTACAAATATTAAAAAATTGAAAAAAAAATAAAAAAATTAAAATTAAAAAAATTAAAAATATTTATATATATATACATACATGACAACTTAGTTTTGTTTATTTACCTAATAAACTCGAAATATTTTTACATGTTACATATATTACAGTAGATTATATAGTTTAAAGAATTTTTTGTATGTGTATAAAAAAATTTTTCTTTTTATGTATTTTATTGTATTTTGTATAAATATATTATATTTTTAAACGTTTAGAAGATTTAATTAAACATTTTGATGAATATATTAGAAATGGAATAAGCATTCTATAGAACTTAAATTAGTGTTAATAATATAAGATTAAATAAGTTTTTATATTGTTCTATTTTTAGATAAACTGCATAATATGAAGAAATTATTAAAACATTTAAAAAAATTTAAAGATGGCCGTTTAAAAATAATTTGTATTGAATTGGAAAAATTAGAAAATAATCTACATGTTGTTGATAATTGCGGAACTCTTGGATGTATGATAAAATCTGCGTATGATAAAAATTACTTACAATTGACTCCGCCAGAAGTATCATCTTGTACTGAAAGGCATCATTACACAAGGACTATTAATAGTGGATTATGTATTATTATAAATCAGGAACATTTTCAAAAAGAGGTACTGTTACTGATCTTAATCAGAAATAAAAGTTTATTCTATATTTTTATCTTTTCAGTATGAAAAACGATGCGGAACAAAGGCAGATTGTATTACTCTATCTAAAACATTTAAAGCTTTTGGATTCAAAGTTGAGGTACTTCAAGATCTGAAAAAAAGCGAAATGTTAGAGAAAATAAGAAACATTTCAAAAGACCATGGTAAAAAGTATGATTGTTTGTTTCTCTGTATTTTGAGTCATGGATATGAAGGTGAGTAATACTTATATTAATAAGAAATATTTTGATTGGATTTAAATTCTTTTTAGATTAAATCACCATTTACGGTCCGAGCTTGGATCTTGGTAGCCTAATTATTGTATATATATTTGTGTATTACACATATCTTTTCCAAACATTAGTAAATTGTCAAGATCTAAGCTCGGACCATAAATGACAATTTAATTTAATTTAATTTGATTGTCATAACGGTCGTATATTTCTTGTATTATTGTTGATTTACATCGCCTGAAAAAGGCGTTCAAAACTGTTATTAACCGATTATTGCGATAAATATTAATTACCACATGCCTTAGTGGTTGAATTGGTATGACATCCTTCTCAGAATGAGGAAGGTTCCAGGTCCGAATATTATCTGACTGAGGTAATATTTTTAGCAATAATTTCTTTACAGTTATTTAAATAGTTAAATCAAATCGATTTAATTACGGGGAAAGTTGGGATTTTACTCCAACGGGAATTGTGTTATAAGTCCGACAAATCTAGTCGGCGCGTAATTTACTAATGTTTGGAAAAGATATATGTAATTGTGGTGTATTAAGGTAACCAAATAAATGATGCTTTGTGCAGTGTTATGAGTTTATTCTATATCTCAGTGCCGTCCAGATACTACTACCCGTGTACATGTGTGTCTCGCAGTCGCTACGCTACTCGCACGAATCCTACCACCCGCCTACCGGTCACGTACATCACGCCACCTATCGTTAACTCCCGATCTCGACTACGGTCGGTATATAACATCTCCTCCCCCTCTAATTTATGAGTCTGATAGTCTTAATTCATATCGTTGAGGTGCTCTTTTTATTCGAGTCGATCTTCGTGGTTCCCTCTCAGGTTCTGGGGCCGTATTCTGTTCCACTAAAATCCGCTTACCGACAATTGTCGGTGTCGTTGCGCTGCTTTTTCACGATATGAAAAACCTGCGCAACGACACTTATCAAACCGACAGTTGTCGGTAGGCAGGAACGGAATACGGGCCCTGGAGCTGCTTCGAGTTCTCTCTCGGGTTCTGGAATATCTTCTGGTTGTGCTCCTGCAACTTCTGCCGGTTGTGCTTGTTCAGTATATTTGGGAACTCCTCTCAACTGCCTTCGTCCTCTGTTCCTCTGCCATTTTCCCCTATTTCCCTCCGGGGGCGAATTTGATCAATATGCCTGATCTAAGTTTGTCCATCTACCGTACGAATTTTGTATGTTACTCGTCCCGTAAATTTTACTATCCAAGCTGCTATCCATTTCTCTGATGTAAGGTAATTTCAACGAACACTGGATCCTGTGCTTCAAATACTCGGATCTTGGATGTTTTGGTTACTGGTATCTCCTTCGTATTATCAGGGTGTAGGCCATCTAATGCTGTACGCAATCGACGTCCCATGAGTAAGGGCCTAAGCAGAATGGCTGTCTTATAACCTTAAGGCAGTGTTTTATGCTTTAAGTCTTTAATGTTTCCTGTCTTGTGTAGCATACGCGACGTATACTACACAAGACAGGAAATATTAACACAGTATTGTGCGTTACATAAGACAAAGACTTAAGGCATAAAACACTGCCTTAAGGTTATAAGACAGCCATTCTGTTTAGGCCCTAACTCTGCTGGTGAGACACCTGTTGTTGTGCTAGGTGTAATGTGTTGCGTGAATAGGAACCGTGCTAGTCCTACGTCCCACTCTTCCTTCGATATCTTCTTCAAAGTTGCCTTCATTGTTTGCACGTACCTTTTGATTTGTCCATTTGAAGATGAATGGTATGGGGCGCTATACATTGCTGTTATTCCATTCCTTTGTAAAAAAGACCGATACTCACTTGAAGTGAATACCATTGCGTTGTCTGACACAATGGTTTGCGGTAACCCATGTGTTGCAAATAGATTTCTTAAGCCAGCGGCACACGGAGCATGTTTTCCTGCTGGATTGCTTGCGATCTAGTAAATTACTAGAAATCTTGAGTGCTGAGTGGTGCAATTATAGTAATTGATTAGATTGCAAGCAATCCAGCAGGAAAACATGCACCGTGTGCCACTGGCTTTAGTTTAGTGATGACTGCCATTGAAGTGCAATTCTTCCTTGGAAACACTTCCAACCACTTAGTGTATGCATCTATGACTAGCACAAATGTCTCCCCTTGCAACGGTCCAGCGTAATCTATATGTAGACGCGTCCATGGTTTTCCCGGGGATAACCATGTCTTTCCTTGCACTGGTGCCATATTATTTCTGGTCAATTGACATTGGTCACATTTGCTAACGTATATCTCAATAGGTTTGTCCATTCCTGGCCACCATATGTAACTACGAGCCAATGCCTTCATCCTAACCACTCCTGGGTGTGCATTGTGTAACATTTGTAGAACAGATTTCCTGGCTTGCTCTGGTATCACAACACGTGATCCCCATAATATGCAATTTTTGTGTGCTGATAATTTGGTTTGACGTGACAAAAATGGTGTAAACTGCTCTTCTTGTCGGTCTTCTGGAAAACCATGCAATAGCCAACAATGAACTCTGGATAATACTGGGTCCGCTTGGGTCCATTTCCCTATGTCGTTCATATTTATTGGTATGTCCTGTATAGATTCCAACATCTGAATCTCGCCCGGCGGTGGAATATCGAATTCTGGAGTTTCCAACGGTAATCTGCTCAAACTATCTGCATTTGCATGTTTTTTTACCTTGCCTGTATATTAGTTTGTAGGAATAAGCTGCTAAAATTAGACTCCACCTCAATAACTGTGGTGATATGACTTGTGGTGTTGCTTTATCTGAACTCAGCAAACCCAACAAAGGTTTATGATCCGTTATAATTGTTACCTCCCGGCCATACACATATCGATGAAACTTTTTTACTCCGAAAATGATCGATAATGCTTCTTTTTGTAACTGCGAATAATTTCTTTCCGCCTTGGATAACGTTCTAGATGCGAACGCTATAGGTCTTTCCTTGCCATCTAAATCCGTGTGTGACAGTACGGCTCCCAATCCATATGGTGATGCGTCGCATGCCAAAATGAGAGGTTTCTTCGGATCGTAATGTGTTAACGCTGTAACTGATATTAGCATTTCTTTTGCAGTACGGAATGCTTTCTCGTGCGTCATAGTCCAACTCCATTTCTTCCGAGCGTCCAAAAGTCTGTGTAAAGGTTCAAGTACTGTTGCTTTATGTGGCAAAAAACATGAATAAAAATTGAACAATCCTAGAAAAGCTTGGAGCTCTTCCTTATTTCCAGGAGCACGGGCCTTCGCAATTGCCTCGACCTTCCCTGCAACTGGATGTATCCCTTCTGCATCTATTCTAAACCCTAAATATTCCACTGCGTCAGTGTTTCGAATACATTTACTCTTCTTAAGTCGTAATTCTGCATTGTATAACCTTTCTAGTACTGCCTTTTCTCTCTTTTCTAATTCTTGTTCTGAATCCGCTGTTATGATTACGTCGTCTAAAAACTTCCCTACAGTCCTGCCAGAACAGTATCCATTTCTTTTTGAAAAATGCCTGGTGCTGAGGTGATGTAACCTCGATGTTGCTTCATCAACGTGTAATTGTAAATATGCCTCGGATAAATCCAATTTTGTAAATCGCTTCGTTCCTGCGTGTTGTGCTAATAATTCCTCTGTTGTAGGTAATGGATTCTTTTTGATAGCTTTATCGTAGCCCGATAATATCCACATAAACGTATACTTCCGTCTTTCTTTACAACTACTACTATTGGTGTGGCCTATTCTGAATGTTCGACTGGTTCGAGAACACCTGCTGCTTCTAACCTACGTAGTTCTTCATCTACTTTGTGCATATGATTCGTATGTATTTGACCGGAAATGAATGTCCGGGAAAGAATCTACCATATGAAATCGTTTGTATTTCGTATGAAGACTTTTGAAGTGCAATTGAAAAGGTTTGTGAGTCATTCGTTTAATTGTAATTAATTAATTATTTTTACACCATGCATTTAGCCGAAATAGATAAATTAATAAAAGTTTTTATACGGAATCGTTTGTATTTTGTATGAAGAGTTATGAAGTGTGATTAAAAAGGTTTGTGAGTCACCCAGATAATTTTAATTAAATATTTATAAACTCGGTAATTAGCCGAAATATAGATTTTTAGTTATTCATGTTAAAAGAAAAAGGCGCTAGTGTTCCCGAAGGTCCGTCTGCAATCAGAATTAATATGAACGTTTTAAAAATTATTTTATACTGAAATAAATAAATATACAGGCTAATAAGCCTGTAGCTATAAGCGATAGTTGCTAATTAAGTTTGTAAAGATGTACCAGCTGTGCAGGGTGAAGAGCAGGTTATCTCAAACGCCCTGCCACAACCCAATTAAAAGAGACTCAAATGTCATTACCGCTGAGAAGTACTTTTTGCCATTTAAGTTAGCATTTCAGAGCAACCGGATTGTCCATTGCGTTCCACCTTGAATTTTTTTTACAGTTGTTTATTAGGATTGCCCTACTTTTAAATTGAGCGCTTTTAAATGTATTATTATTAAACTACCGATATCGATATTAAAACTTGACAGAGTGACGTAAACTAATTCGCTCATAGTATTATAACAAAGTATTATGCGTTCAAATTCTCGAAAGCTAATAAAGCTTCTTTACTATAGCATAGTAAAGCTTCTTTACTATGCTCTCTCTTCATGTCGATCGATTCAGATAAAAATCTCCGAAGTCTTTCTTTCTCTCGCGATATTCCTAGAGTAAAACTGTACAAAAGCTTTACGAAATTGGCGATATTTTTCACGGATCTGGTTCGAGTCTCAGCTCTTGAGGAAGGTGCGCATGTAGAAAGAGTACGCCAACACAGTTTATCCTGCTAAATAATTATCAATTCTCTATAAGTTCTGTATTGTACATAAATTATAGAATATCTAAACGTTTCTTTTTTTTTCGATGTCCTGTGACATTGTACAATAGAGTTACAAATAAAGATAAAGCCACACTTTACGTATAATCTGATTCAGTCTTTGCTAATGTTACATAATAACGTACGAAAGAACTAACAGTTAGACTATTTAAGAGGTTATTTAAGAATTTTAATTGATACTGGAAGCATAAAACTGTTCAGCTAGCTTTACACAAGATATTGGTCTTCTTCTTTATGAAATCGTCAAATTATGATTATGATACATTTCTACATTATCACCATCATCGAATCTAATCTTATTTATCGTGATACTCTTGAGAAACTGTTAATCCATTGTCTTAACTCGATCGCGGCGCAGAACTGCGTCCACCAATATTGTTCTTCTCCCTCCAATCGATTCCCGTAAAAGCTGTCTACATATTGAACAGTCGATACAATGACGGCGGATTAGTCTGAAATTAAGCACACGTTAACAATCACTCTTCTTGCTAAAATCACAATTCTCTTTTCAATCGCATACCTTGATTATGACATACCTGTAGACCAGCATGGAAGTCAGATCGTCGGCAGCAGGTATGCCTCTCCGACGCCATGGAAAAGAGATTCATGATGGTAGTCGCGCAACAAAATACACACTGCAACTTATCCCTAGGAGTCTTATACGCCGATATCACAGCCAATTCAGCCTGCGCTCATGACCAGGGGCATTC